TTCCAATTTAGTTTTTTTTGAATAAAGATATTTAATAAAATCTTCAACTATTTTTTTGCTTATATCTCTACACCATTTATCTTCATTAAAATTAATAAAATTCTGATATTCTTCTATTTTTGTAAATTTTTTATTATATAAATATTTACTATATTCTTTGTAATCAAATATCATATAAAGTAATTTTTTCAATATCACATGAGTTATTAAAATTGCATTTTATCTAACTAAATCTGTTTCTTTTGCTAATAAATTATCAAATTTTCTACCATGTGATAATAAAGTATATTTATTTGCTGTCTTAATATATTCATCAATCATTTCTTTTGTTACATTATCAACTTTTAAAACTTCTTTAACATAATTTTCTAAACCTTTCTATTCATCATCATAATAATATTCAGGTTTATTATATATTAATTCATTATATTTTTTCTTTGATATATATAAATTTGGACTAATACCTTTTTCTATTTCTATAACAATATAAGGAGATTCCATTTCATTAGCCATCCATACATTAATTTCATTTTGTAAATTAATACCTTCATTATAAGATATAAGTACTATCTCTTTGCGAATATTATATATTATTTTACTAAAATCTTCTTCATTTACATTTTTATCTAATAATCAAAATTCATATTTTTTAATAATTTTATTTATCAATATAGTTAATAAAGAAAAAAAAATTAAATCAGTATCAGTATATTTCCAAATAAACTTTTTTCTTTTATCGTTTTAGAAATCTCTTTGTTTTTCATGTATTCAGTTGCCATTGTTATATAATTTCTAGCAAATGCAGTGACACTAGCTGATACTTCATAATCATATATAATAGAATATTGATTACCAAATTAACTATAAATAGAATTAGCTATTCTCTTTAAAACATCTTGTAAAATATTATAATAATTATAATTTTTTTCAATAAATGTTAATGCTTTTGTATAAACTAAATTTTCAGAATCTTCTTGTTCCATATGACTCTCAGTTAATTCATTAACATATACTTTATCTGATTTATCATATTTACTACAATCTTTTTTTGCTTGTTTTCTTTGTTTTATAAGTAATTTTAAAATTATTGGTATTAATCCTTTTTTAGTTTTGAAAATCTAACATATTTAGTTTTTCCTTTTATATCTTCAAATGATATCTCATAACATTCCTTTTCTTCTTTATTATCCAAAAGTTTAGTAAGAAAACATATATTATTTTGAGTTATGAGACTTGGATATAATGAATTAAAATCTAAAACTATATGAGTTAATGATAAAAATCCTTTTTCTAGATCTCTAACTAAACCATCTTTAAATTTTTCTTTTTGATTCCTACCTCTATATTTAAATGATATTTCAAACTTTTCTTGATGAGCTAAATTAACAAATAAATTATTTATCATTTTAGTTTTATTATCATATGAATATTCATATAAAGGTATAATAGTTAGATCTGATATTAATCTATATTCAGTGATTTTATTTATATATTCAATTGCTTCTTTTGGTGCTATACAATCTCTAATACAATATTTCAATATAATTATATATTGTTTTTTCTTTTCTTCTTTATTATAATTTCCTTGATAACAATTATATAATATTTCATACATCTTTTTAATTTCTAAATC